GTGTAAAACAAAGCAATTTATTACATCAGAGGTAATAAAGCACAGTCAAAAAGTATTATATTACACAGTTCAGCAGAACCATCAGAGTTTACTTGGCCTTGATTTGTTCATCTCCAAAAAATCGCTCAAATCTTTCCACCATTGTGGTCGAGGATCGGTGTGCTTGCGGAATTCACGCATCAGATGGTCGTACGGTCTAAATGATTCATTCAGTCCAGTTACCTACGGAACAATCTCATGGACACTTACTTTCCATCACTGGCGCCCAGAGCAGAGTTTAGCACGAAATCCGGTGGAGCTATGGCATCAACCAAAGCTACGGCGTCCGGAGAGATTTCGTTCTCGAGTTTCCGGATGTTTAATCGAATAGTTTCTCCAAATTCCGGACCAGAGCAGTAGCCACCTAAATCGGAAGATTCAAACGGTGGGGAAAATAAAATATAGGACGTCTGCGCTACGGAATCCTCAAGGAAGAATTTAACGCAGCGCAACGGATAGCCAAATATATGGAGACCCCATGGCCTTACAGGGTGGGGACATTCAAAACAGAGCCGCGAAAACCACGAACGTGACACTAGGACTAAACCCATTAGAGCCTCCCTTAACGACGTGAGCGCTCGTATGGTTAATTCGGCCAAGGCATAGTTCCATCCCTTGAACCGTGAATATGGTGGTTCTGACCACCACTGCACAATCAAAAGACGATAATGCTTCAGATACCAGTGCATAGGTGAGTTCCACGGGTACCCGAAGGAGGCCCGTCGCGCGGCAAGAAGGCAGAGTCAGCGGACGAGTTGCAGCGCGTACTGTAGTGGATTTCGCGTCAAGTTAAATAGAATGTACCATTGTACGTCCTACATCGCACACCACGCGCTGCGACTCGTCCGCTGACTCTGCCTTCTTGCCGCGCGACGGGTACCCAAACTCCACTACGAGACTACGTTGCTCAATCTATAAGTAGTCATCCTTCTGTGAGTAGCGTAGATCACTCTCACAGGGCAGTGATTGTTACAATCTGAAGATACACTGAAGGGCGCTAATTTTTGCAACTTTGCAAGAGGTGGCTGCAGCTATTCTTTGGAACGCGAAACGCAGACGACTGTCTACGTCTCACGCATCCTTCATGTTCTCTCGTCTGTCCTCCCACCTCGAGGCCCAGCTGTCATAGCCCTAATCGCTCCCGTAAAAGGAAGCAAGAATTCAGTGATTTTTTGAGTTTTCTTTTGCTTTCTTCATCACAGGCGGTCCCGATCGCATCTATGCTTGAACTTCTTGAGACAATATCTTCCGTTCTTTATGGAATATGCCTTTAGCTCAGGACTCACCCATATAGCAAGTGGCAAGATGCTTCTCGAGGGAGAACAAGCCATACAATGCAATGAGACGGAGTAATACCTAAAAGAATAGAATAACCTGTAATT